GAATTTAGGAATAAATGACTCAATTTGACAACAGGATTCTAATAAATACTTCCCCCCCCCCTTTACATAATCAGGAACCACCAGAGAATAAAGAAGTTCTGAGAAAGTCTAACTTTGCTTTTGGCAGAAGAGTGGCAGACCTGAAACGTCACATCTAGGTGAACTATGTTTAAGGATGAGAGGTTAGGTGCAAAGTGAATTAGATGAAAATGTAGCGGGAATGACTGATAGGAAGTACCTAGTTTTGGAGGGAATGAATAAACAATTATTTCCACAGCAGCAAACTGCAAGATTTCTGGGAACTGAAAGGAAATGCCAAAAGAAAGGGACATGATAGAATTTCCAAACTTATCATAGTTGGAATAAATGAACCAGAAAGGTTATGTCCACTGCATTCTTCATTTTTTCAGTCTGCAAGTCTTCAGGATTATTAAAGTACCGACTACTCTCACTGCAAAAATTGACTAATGTCTCCTAAAAAAGTAAATATTCAAAATTCTCCGAGAAATTATTTTGCATATACTTCCTTCTACAGCTTCCTTCTACAGCAGGCATTAAATAGCTTTCACAATTACTATCATTAGGTGGGAAAAATATCAAATGTTTATAAGAGGGGAAAAAATAAAAAAATCAAATTTAACAAAATAAGCATTATTATATAAACATGCTGCACATTATGAGTAGATATAAAAACAAGATTTGAAATAATAGAAAAGGATACTTTCTGACTGAGGAACTAAGTCGCTGAATAAAATAGACATTTTTTTTCTGGCAAACAATCAATCACTTTCTATGCAAGACAAGTAATATTTACATTTGACATTTCAGGAATTTTGGGGCAACTTACTGGTACTCTTCACAGAAGGCTATACAAAACACTTCAAAAGGCATCATCCCAATACTGGAGAAGGTAAGGAATCTATCACGTTCCAGAAGCTCATTACTATTGTCACACCAGTTTTCTGCTTCTCCACAAGCTGTTTTTGGAAGCATCATACCTTCAGAAAACTGAGTTCTAGCAAATGGAACTTCTATTCTGACTGACCTTTCAGCAAATTGTTTTCAAATTGAAACTAAATCATTACTTTTCTGAGCACGTCTCAAGAAAAGGGCACAAGACTTCATGCACCATCCAACAAGTTTTGAACTACTATTTATCATACAAATGACAGCCAACATCATGATAAAGTAGAGTGGAAAAAGAATTAAGGACACGGGACTAACTCTACTTATCTTAAATGTTGTTGCATCTACAAATGCGAGATTTGTTTCATAGCTTCACATAAAATCATCAAGAAAAATATCAATATGACAAAGTGCAGAGGAAGCATTTAAACGAGTTCTTTCCTTTTCATATGACACTTCCAGTACTGTTCTCTCTCAGCAATTGTACTAGCAGCTCCTTTGGCTTCTTAAACTATGGAAAAAGTTTCAGCATAAAATACTCTATATACAAAGGAAAACTGCAGGCTACACATCCTTATGGCACATCCTCAAGGGTTTACTGAGTAGAAGAAAAGAAGTCCAGCCCAGGAAAGGAATATGCATGCAACTGAACTACAGAATTAAAGACTTCTATTCCTTGTCTTTTCTTCTTTTACATGAATCAAAAGGGAAAATATGCAGACTAACATAATTAAGGACCACAGGAAAACATATCCCATTTAACTACATCCAAGCATGAAAACACTACACAGAATGTCCAGTTGTGTCTCTTTGATTGATACTGTTTCCTCAGGAAGACGGAGGAAAAGAGGAATATTGTCAAGTCATAATTTAGAGATGGGAATGTGTGATCTGAGCCTCGCTTCACGTGTACTTTAATCCCTCCCTATCCAAGAATGCCTGTTTGACACTATTTAGAAGACGGTAAGGAAGGAGACCATCAAGGTAAAGAAAGAAAAGTGCAATATAAATGGAAGGAAAATGATTTCTCCTTAATGAGAAGTGATTTGCTGCTGGTATTTAAGCTTTTATCTTACCTTAATACACAGATCATTGACTTTTTTAACAAGAATATAAAAACCAACTTCAATATAGTCTTCATTTTTAACACCATCTACTTTGATTAGTAAGACAAATTTCTGATACATCATCCTTTCTAGGGCTTTCAGTGAAAACAGGTCATTCCTTTTACATTATCATGCTCATGGTATAGCAACCTTAATGAGAAAATTCCTTACAACCTCCTAGTCCTACATAGTAAATACTTTTAAATAATAGATGCTTACTTACTCCATCTTTTTATGGTGCCTTTTATGGTCCATGCTTTTTAAAGTTACTCAGTCTCTATGTCTTCTCTACGTTCAGAACAAAAACCTACTTTGATGTTTGACCAGACTACTACTACTACTATTCAAACACTGGAAAACAGGGAAAGCTGAAAGACACTCTATTCCACATACTGAAGTACAGAACAGCGAAATATTGCCAGTGACCCCTGCCTCTGTCAGCTGCATTCAGCATCCAGCCCAGGCGACTGCTTAGTTAAAAAGTCTCAGTGATGAAACCATATTTTTCCATAAGTATGACATATGTTGAATTAATTTATATTATATATATACATATAAATTATATCTATATATAATTTAAATTATATACATATATATAAAAATTGCTGCTCTTTCCCACTATAAATCAAAGTATGCATAACCTGTAGGACTTTTCCATGCCTCATTTGTCATAAAAGATTGCAGGCATTTCCTAAAGAAGGTAAAACTATGATCTAAATTTGTCATTAATCTCACTGAGGATGAATTTTACTGTCAGATGTCTGGTTTGGTTTTGGGTTTTGTTTGTGGGTTGTTTTTTTTGTTTTTAATTTAAATACTTTACAAGATACATATTGTTCTACCCCATGTGTATCTCACTTCTAGCACTGACCAATACCTGACTATATTGAAGCACTTTTATTAACTTGCTGTTGTTATATCTGCCTTCATTTTCTGAGTACTAAAAATTTCTATTCAAGTTTGTTAATCATGTTTTTCAGTATGTATACAGCACATGAGTTAATCCACAAGATCAAACTTGGTGTTCATTTTCAGAACACAACATCAAATGTTTGTGTCTCAGAAAAAGATGAGGATGAAATTTGTGATTTTTGAACTTGTTTATTAAATGGAATATTAATCAACTTGATGTATAATCATTAGTAATTATTTCAGCAATCTTAACTGTTAGCACAGAACAAAATCACTTGAAGAAAAACAAATGTTAAAACAAACATCAAAGTGTACATTTAAGAATAGCTGTATTAAAAAAAATAAAGACATACTACACATTTTTCAGACCTCTTGCAACAAAGATTTACGAGTGAACAAAATTTGCCAGTATAAATCCTATTTGATTAAACCTGGTAGTTCTACCATAAGCACTCACACTTGTCTACTTGCTTAGGATTCAAAATCCCAGTTTTGTATCACAATTAAATGTGGTAAACTTTGCTTGAGTTGAATGAGAATAGACTTGGAAGTTTGTGAACAAAATGTAAAACTTTTCTGGAATCCAAAGGGGGCGTTAAATGTAGATATTATGTGAACTGGGCACTGTGTTATGTCATAAGTAGTCTCCTGTCCTATGACCAAGAATATGTTCCTTACATTGTTGTTATCTCCCCAGGTAAATCTGAACCTCTTGAACATGTTTTCACATTTCTGTCCCCACCTTCTGGTTTGCGACGCAAATGTAACAGATCATGGGAGCAATATTTTTGCTCAATCTGTAAGCACACCCTCAAAAAATTTTCCTATAATGCTTCCAGATTTCATGAGATGGACTCCTTCTTAACATTCAGAAAATGATATCAAGTCACTAAACAAAATGTTAATTTCAGAAACAAAAAACATTTTCTTAAAATACATTTTTACTTGCTTTTTAGGCGGAGCTTTATGGTAAGCATAAAATAACTGTAGTTCTGTGCAATAAACTCCTCATTTGTGATGGAACAGATTTCTCAAAACTATTACATCTTTCCTTCATACATTTACACAGATGCTTGCATATTTAATATACGTTTGCACTAAGTGTTAATTGACATGGTCAGAACAGGGAAATGATTATAAAATACTGTTGGAAATGGTGGAATACTTGAAGTGGACTTTTGATGTATTTAGATCTAATATACCCCAAGAAAAACAAATAAACAAACTATTATCCTTTTAGTAGAATTGATGCTAACAGTACTTAAAAGGTAACTACTAATACTGTTAATCGCAATGTAAACAACTTCAGGATGCTGTAAGCAAATTAGCCTTTTTTCTTTTTAAACTTACATACTGATGTTCATTATTATTTTGATTGAACAGCTGTACTTAAGTCAAACCAAAATATTTTTAATAACAAAACAGGTTTACACTGTTCAGATACTCATCAATAACTGACGTGATTCCAAATACCTGCTATGCAGTGTGCTTTTACTCAGGTCATGTTAAACGAGCCAATACAGGCCTACTTATGTGTATATATTTCTGAATATTATGTAATTCCTCGTAGCTACGTTTTGGGTGTTTTTTATGTCAGATTTCTATGAAATAGAAATAGGTTTGGACAACAGATGTTTGTATCTACCATCTAAGAAGCATCGAAAAATTTGGACAAAAAATTTGGACCAAAAGCTTGTGCAAATCCTATACAATTAAATCATGCATTTAACTACATAAATTAAAAATAATTGCACATTTTCTCCAAAACTACAGAAAATGGCAGCTGTTAAAGGACTAAGTATTAAGTTGCTCTGAGACTTTTTCCTCAGTGCTACACTTTTCTTGAATCTGTTCTAAGCAGGTTTAAATGTTATAAAACACCTTTGATCCCAAGAAATGAAGAGTCATTATTTACTTTGCATTTTTTAATACTTGTGTTTACTGTAGTGCTGAGAACACACGGTGAAAAATTGTTTATTTTCTTTGGTGATCATATATGTTGGGGTTTTTTTTCAAACAGAAAAGAGTTGAAACTAAAAGAAAATCATGCAGATTTTTGTATGTGCACATCCATACCTGAGCATTAAGAAGTTCTTCACATTTGTGAGAATGTTTTTCAATTGCTACTATATACTGTTTTTCAATAGCTGCTTCTTGTTGTTGAACTGTAGATTGTAGCAGTGCCTGCAAAAAGAAAACACAGAATTTTCAACAAAGATATAACTGGGATGCTTATTGGTAACTGCAGATCTACTAATACTTGCATATAACCAGAATGTGGAATGCTGTTATAAATTTGGAATGTGCAACTAATCAAGTACCTTTCTATGTAACACTACCTTGTTTTCAGTAAGGACTGAAATTTTTTGGATCTCAGATTTCTTATACATAGCCTGCTTAAAAGAGAGCAGTACACAGAAGATAGAGAGGGAGAATATTTCTGTTAAATATACTCATTTTAGTGGGACCACACAAGAAGAGAAGCATATGAAAGCTGCTGAAGAGAAAAAAAAAAAAAGAAAAAAAAAAAGCCAGACATATTTCCCTGGCTGACAAAACTCCACATCCTCTCGGCACAGTGCAAGATCCCAAGGGCCAAGCATGATCTTCACAACCACAAGTCAAGTAAAAGCAGATGGATATTCTGAGTAATTTAAAACATAAAAGAAGGGCCCCCCAGGAAGTTCACACTCAAATGTAAAGCAGTGGAAGTCAAAGTACCAAGACAGTAACACAAAAATGATAAAACTAGGAACTCTCTGTGTGTGAACATGTATGCATGCGCACGTGTATATTCACATGCACTTGACTGAACTCTGCAGAATTTCCAGCATCTGAACACACAAAGAGAAATAAAAAAAAAAATTAAGATATGTGAAAAAAGAAATTACCATTTGAGGAATTACACTCAGGCTTCCTTAAACAATGATGGTATTTTAACACAGGATTTACTTAACTCATGCTTTGCAAGTCTTTTTCCCTAATATTATAAAATATTTATCTCAGTTTCCAAATATTCATTTGGCTATTTATACAGAATATAGCAAACTATTTTTAACTAGTAATCAATATAGTGAAGTAGTTGAAATTACTGTGTTAAGTTAAAACAGACGTAAGTTTTATAGAAAAAAGACCTTTGGCCCAGATATGGACAAAGAAAAAAAAAAAATCACCTTTCAAACAATCTTTATTTTAGAGATATATTTACTTCATGTAACATAACACACCCATTAAATACAATTTTGAATACCTTTTAAAAAAAACGAAAATGTATACAAAAAAGCACCACCTGATAATTTTTGAACTATCTTTCCAAATTTTCCACTAATTAGCCTCTTATGCCAAAATCAGTGTTCTTCAGTAATGCTATAGTACGGCAGTAGTTTTCAGCACAGGCTCAGAAAGCCGTAAAATGTAAAAAATGGTGCTTAACATATATTTTAATCAAAGTGTAAGAAGCGTTTACTGGTGTTTGCAGGTGATTTAGCTAGCTATAAGTTTACTTTCATAAAAGCTAATTTCTTTCCAACTAAATTCAGTTCTTTTATTGATATAAATTCAGGCAATTACAAAAACTTAACTCTCAAAGAAGTATAACTTCTGTATGCGAAATTTTATATGTTAAATCCTACTGTGTATAAACTAGAATTGCCCCATGTCACTAGCAAAAAATAAGTCTGTACTTTGGGGTACAGGGTTTTTTTGCCTAAACTATTGTGACAAGAATTGTTTCCTGTCACTGGCACAAAATAAAAAAAAATCTCAAATTCTGATCTTGGGGAAGACAGTAAACAGAATGGTCATTAAGGCGGAATGCTGTTTCTAAGATAGCTTCTTGCTCACACCAAGGGTTGAGTCACTTTATGCACTTTACAGTGCAGACTTAACTGGTGACTGTTAAATTCCTATTAAATATTCTAAAGAGCTTTCAGTCTTCAAGGAAATAATTATCATTCATTGGATGGCACGTACAGGTTGCTAACTTTTTAAATTTATTTTATTATTATTATCTTCTTTAGAAAATACATAAAAATCTACATTCAGAAACAAAAGCTGTCCTTTTCTATCATACACACTACTAATATAGTTTAAATAGTACCACAGAATTGATTCTGTGTTTGACTATTCCACTAGTTGGCCAAGTAAGGAGACAGACAAAAATCCCCCTATGTTGCACAGTACTTCAGCGATAGCTTCCATGTTGTGCCATAAAAAAAATGTCCAGACAAAAATGTTTAGTTTCTATGGAGAGATGCAGCAGATCAGCCAGTCAAACAGGCCTTTAAAATACAGAATAAATTATTTATGCCAAGGCCTAAATCTTTTCAAGTCACTTAAAAGAAGATGAGGTGTGTCACACAATACCCTGAGATAGCAATGACTCCTTATTATAAATATAAGGTTTTCCTTTTCAAGACGAATCTAAAGATTCTCAGAACCTTATGGTTTTAAGATACGCTTACAATCAAAACAGAATGCTGAGCTCCAATTTATTTTAGGGTAGAATGTTTTTATTTGCATGCGAAAATTTTTATGCTCAGGACTGATCATAATTGTCAGTACTGCCAGGTAAGGCACTTGTATAAAACAGAAAGTCTACGCTTCTGAGGTAGGAACAGAAAAGTGTCATAGATAATTGGCATGACTAGACAAATGTATCTTGACCTTTAAATTAAGACTTTCATTCTTATCATTGAAATCATATCCCATATTTAATAAGTTATCAGAAATAAGACAATTTTTAAAATAAAATAGAAGCCAAACTTGACAATTTCCTTTAATTCTAATCAAACATGCAGTTGTTGCTTAGGACACTACTATGTTCATTGCATATATCCTACAACTGCCTGGCACCAACTGACTATAAAAAGTAAATATAAACATAAAGGTGTCATAAGACACTGTCTTTCCAAGATTGTAAAAAACAAACAAACAAAAAAGAAAACAGAAAACATGAAGTTTAAAAATTACACCATTTTCTTCTTTGTCTGATCACAACCACCACTTAAAGTTTCTTGATAGGGTAAATACAGCAGATATGCATGATATCCATACAAAGCTTTTGCAGATTTCAAGACAATCCACTACTTAAATTACTAATTTTTAAAAAAATACTGGTTACCTAATACACTAAACTAAAACATACATTTAGCTATTTGATGATAGGCATCTCTAACTTACATACGGACAAACGTGACAGTTGGAGGCTGTCTTGCACATAGTGATCATGAAATGATAGAGTTTTCGATTCTTGGAGAAGCAAGGAGGGGGGGTCAGCAGAACTGCTACCTTGGGCTTCCAGAGGGCAAACTTTGGGCTTTTCAGGAGCCTGCTTGACAAAGTCCCTTGGGAGGCAGTCTTCAAGGGCAAAGGAGTCCAGGAAGGCTGGACGTTTTACAAGGAAGTCTTAAAGGTGCAGGAGCAGGCTGTCCCCCCGTACTGAAAAATGAGCCGTAGGGGAAGAAGACCGGCCTGGCTGAACAGAGAGCTGTGGTTGCAACTCAGGGAAAAAAGGAGAATTTATGGCCTTTGGAAGAAAGGGCAGAACACTCATGAGAACTACAAAGATGTAGTGAGGCTGTGTAGGGAGAAAATTAGAAAGGCGAAAGCCCAACTAGAACTTAACCTGGCTATTGCAGTTAAGGACAACAAAAAAAAGTTTCTATAAATACATTAACCATAAAAGGAGGACTTAGGATAATCTCTGTCCTTTAGTAGTCGACGGTGGAAACATAGTGACCAAGGATGAGGAAAAGGCTGAGGTACTTAATGCCTTCTTTGCCTCAGTCTTTAACAGTAAGAGCAGTTGTTCCCTGAGTATCCAGCCCCCTGTTCTAGTAGACAGGGAGCAGAATGAAGTGCCCCTAAACCATGGGGAAACGGTGACTGACCTGCTCCAGCACCTAGACATATGCAAGTCTACAGGGCCAGATGGGATCCACCCAAGGGTACTGAAGGAGCTGGTAGAAGTGCTTGTCAAGCCACCTTCCATCATTTATCGGCAGTCCTGGCTAACTGGGGAGGTCCCAGTTGACTGGAGGTTAGCAAATGTGACGCCCATCCACAAGAAGGGCCAGAAGGAGAATCTGGGGAACTACAGGCCTGTCCATCTGACCTTGGTGCCTGGGAAGGCTATGGAAGGTATCATCCTGAGTGTCATTATGCAGCACATGCAGAACAACCAGGTGATCAGCCTCAGTCAGCATGGGTTCATGAAAGGCAAGTCCTGCTGGGCAAACCTGATCTCCTTCTATGACAAGGCTGCCCACTTAGTGGGTGAGGGAAAAGCTGTGGGTGTTGTTTACTTGGACTTCAGTAAAGCCTTCAACACAGTTTCCCACAGCATTCTCCTGGAGAAACTGGCTGCTCATGGCTTGGATGGGTGTACTCTTCGCTGGGTAAAAACTGGCTGGAAGGCTGGGCCCAAAGAGTGGTGGTGAATGGAGCTAAATACAGGTGTCATCCAGTCACAAGTGGTATTCCCCAGGGCTTGGTATTGGGACCGGTAATTTTTAATATCTTTAGCAACAACCTGGACAACAGGATTGAGTGCACCCACAGTAAGTTTGCAGACGACACTAAGTTAGGTGGAAGCGTCAACCTGCTTGAGGGTAGTAAGGCTCTACAGAGAGATCTGGACAGGGTGGATCGATGGGCTAAGACCAATGGTATGAGGTTCAACAAGGCCAAGTGCTGGGTCCTGCACTTAGGTCACAACAACCACATGCAGCACTAGAGGCTTGGGGAAGAGTGGCTCCAAAGCTGCCTGGCAGAAAAGGGCCTGGGGGTGTTGGTGGACGGCCGGCTGAATATGAGCCGGCAGTGTGTCCAGGTGGCCAAGAAGGTCAATGGCATCCTGGCCTGTATCAGGAATAGCGTGGTGAGCAGGACCAGGGAAGTGATCATTCCCCTGTACTCAGCACTGTTGAGGCCCCACCTCGAGTACTGTGTTCAGTTTTGGGCCCCTCACTAAAAGAAAGACATAGAGGTGCTGGAGTGTGTCCAGAGAAGGGCAACAAAGCTGGTGAGGGGTCTGGAGAACAAGTCTTATGAGGAGTGGCTGAGTCAACTTGGGTTGTTTAGCCTGGAGAAAAGGAAGCTGATGGGAGACCTTATTGCTCTATATAACTACCTGAAAGGAGGTTGTAGAGAGGTAGGAGTCAACCACTTCTTGCTAGTAACAA